GACTGGGACCCTAGTAGCCTGTAGGCTCGAGTCATCAAGGCCATCTAATCGTCCATTCTAGAGCTTCCCTGCATGCAAGCCATTTATCCTCCAGGCCATTCCTCATCTCTTTCTCCTTTTCATCAAATGTATCTGCTATGCGTCCTATTCTATCAATGTTCGTTCACTACCAGGTCACATAAAACTGTAATTTGCTCGTCACTGTAAATAGATTTGCGGTATGTAAGATGGAGAGAGTATCTGAAATGAAACAATGACTCTAATGTTGAGACTATCAGCTTCCAGGGAAGCCTAGGGTGGAAAATAACTGGTGATGATGCCTGTAAGGTTAAGAAGCTATAAGGAATCCCCAAGTCCGTCTGTATATTTGAGTACTTTCTAATGGTGCAGAGTTAGGCTTTGTGGAGATATAAAGAGGAAGACATGGCCCCTAGTCCCAGGAGTTTGCAATCAAGCAGGTGGGATGGTGAATTAGGCCATTCTTGCATTGCTATAAAACAAATACCCAAAGCTAGGTAATTTATAAAGAAAAGAGGTTTGATTGGTTCACAGTTCTGCAGGCTTTACAGGAAGAATGGTGCTGGCATCTCCTAGGCTTCTGGGGAGGCCTCAGGAAGCTTACAATCACGGCAGAAGGTGAAGTGGGAGCAGGCACGTTATATAGTGCGAACAGGAGCAAGAGAGATGGGGGAAGGAGGTGCCACACACTTTTAGACAACCAGATCTTGCCAGAACTCACTATGACGAGGCCAGCCCTAAGAAGATGGCATTAAATCATTCATGAGAAATCCACTCCCATGATCCAAACACCTCCCACCAGGCCCCACCTCCAACACTGGGGATCATGATTCAACACGAGGTTTCGAGGAGACAACACCCTAACTATATCAGACGGAGATCTTGGGTGCCAGGCACTTGCATCCACCACTTTAAATTACCTTATTTAATTGTGGTGGTGTCATCATCTAATTTTGCAGACAAGGAACCAAGGCCCAGAGGAGTAAACTATTTTTATCCAAGGTGAGTCCCTCTCCAAGGGGCTGACTAGTGCCCCTCTTAGGACAGTAGCAAGTTGGAATAAAGTTGGGCATGCCTAAGGTCTTTAAGGAACAGGGGATGCTTACTTCCTTTGCATTCCTTTGGCCACTTACATAGCATACTTAAGCTCCTTCTGGATAGACTGTGTCCTCTTATTCACATGCTGAAATTGTTATACATTTTTAAACAATAAGCGAATAATATATTTTTCTAAAAAGTAACTGATTTTCTCTAGGTTCAGTATAGATAGCCAGCCATGGGAGTCAGAATTTGAACTCAGATCTGGTCTGGTTCTGAAGGCTCTGTTCTTTCCAGCTTTGAGACAAAGGAGCAAATGTGAGAAGCGCCTTTTGCTCACTTGTGCTTGCCAGCAGAATTTCCCAAAAGCCCCGGACTGTGAAGATGTGCAGCTCTTTGGAAAGATGCTTTGAAGACGAAACCTTTAACAGGGTTAGTGCCTATGCCTCTGTAATCTACAACCAGATGCACTCTTATACCCAAGCCGTGATGGGATTCTGCTACGATGTAACTTCTGAGCAAATTTGATGTGACTGTGCAGGTCCTGAAACTCCACTTCCTGTCTGTAAGCAGTGGACGGAAATCCTGGGCTGGAGCAGTCTCATAGGATCTCTCTGAAAGGCTGTTCCCAGGCTGTAGGCCTTGGTCTGTAGTCCACAGTAAGACTTCTGAATACAACTAACTTTGATTCTTTAAAAGCTTGACTGTTTTCTTTAGTCGGCATGGCATTCCATACCATTCCAGAAACAGCAGCCAGGGGGATATGTGAAGGAGAGAGCGATGGCGTAGTGTGTGGAGCTGCTTAGCTGTTAACTAGCGGAGTTAAGAGAAGGCAGCCGGCCAAATGCCCTGGAGGGGCGAGGCAAAGCTTTTCAGAGAGCTGGGAAGTGGCACTCCAGTGAGGTCTGAAGCCATGAAGGATGACTTATTTATCCCACAGTAGCTAGGAGAAGACGGGTCTTTCCAGGGAGTGTGACCAGTTTAAGCAAAGGCTTAGGGGCAGGAATAAAAATGTGCTGGGCCGGGTGCGGTGGCTCACGCCTGTAATCCCGGCACTTTGGGAGGCTGAGGCGGGCAGATCACGAGGTCAGGAGGTCGAGACCATCCTGGCTAACACGGTGAAACCCCGTCTCTAGTAAAAATACAAAAAATTAGCCGGGCGTGGTGGCGGGCGCCTGTAGTCCCAGCTACTTGGGAGGCTGAGGCGGGAGAATGGCATGAACCCGAGAGGCAGAGCTTGCAGTGAGCCTAGATCCCGCCACTGCACTCCAGCCTGGGCCACAGCAAGACTCCATCTCAAAAAAAAAAAAAAAAAAAGTGCTGGAAGTGGGAAAGGGGAGCTGGTTAAGGGACTAAAAGTTATTCCTTGTGGACCACCTTCTCATCACACGCTCTTTGACCTCATTGTAGTTCAATGGAAGGAAAGAGAGTCAAAAGCTGGAGGGAAGTTTCTCTCCAAGCGGACAGGGGCTCAGCAAACCCAGCCTTCCCCGCAGTCTTACCTGGAGCTATTGCCTGGGGAAGAGGGTGTTCAGGGCACAGTAGCCCAAGGCTGGAGGCACTTTGCTCAGAAGCGCCTGTGGTGCTGCTCCTCGTGGGCCTCCTGGGAGGAAGGGCCAGGGAGCCAGGCGCTTCTCCCATCCCCTTCTGGAATCCTGGCCAGTTTCCACGTGCATAACCCAGCTTAATCCATAGAAACAGGAGCTGCAAGGCATGTTCTTTCTCTTGTTTTCCTCTCCAAGACACGGAAACCTTTATTTTCTCCCTACACCACAAACCGGTACTGTTCAATAATATTGGATAATTGCACCTGTCGCACTCCCCATATTGTGCTGAGGAAAAATAATTGCTGGTTTTCTGCTTTGCCATTGAGCTGTGACTCCGTCATTTGACTCGGAGCATGTCATTTTCTCCCATTTTAGACTGTGTACAGTCAAACCCTGTGAAAGGACTCACAGACAGCGGCCCTGCGTGTGTGAGTGGGCGCGGGCCTCATTCAGCAACGATTTCTAATTTATACAGCATTGAAAATCCACAGCTATAAATAAACAGTTCTGACTGGCTTTGCTGCCTACTCAAATGCTTTATTAAAAAAAAAAAAAAAAGTCACCAGCAACTGCATGAGAAAGGAAAACAAGAATGTCTGGAGGTGGAGTCTGGCTTCTGAATCCTGGGCTTGGGAGGGGGAACGCCCCACTTTGGGACCGGCTCAGTGCTCAGCCCCTCCAGGTTTTGGAAGGCCTGGCCTCCTCGCTCCTTGCTCAGCCCCTCACGCTCTCCACGTGTGGGTGCAATGTGTTTGGGGATTACAGTCTATGAAACTGGCTTCCTGTTATGACAAGCATTGCAAGTGAGTAGGTGCGGAGGAACTGAAAATAGCTTAAGAAATGTAGGACCCTTCTGGGGAGAGAATGGGGTTAAGGCATTGTTTAGGCAACAAGACAAGTCTTCTACCCAAATTCAGAATTGGTTTCAAATGTGAGACAGCAACACTGGAACAGAAGCATGAGTATAGGCCAGTCCCTGGGGTAGTGGTGGCAGTGTCCTTCCTCCTCCTGTAATGGGGACAGTTTCCACCAATTTGGGATCTCTTGACCACCTTTCTTTTGTCCAGCTCTGCAAGATGTGGACACGTTTTTGTTTTGTTTTTTAAATAAAGGTTTTTGGATGACCCGGTACTGCTTTGCTCTGTAAGAAAGAGGAAGGAAACTGGGCTCAGGAGTCAACTCTCTGTGTGACCTTGGAGTTGTCATTTCCCTGCTCCGAACGAGAGGTGTGCTGGAGCCAGTCTGCACAGGCTCTCGAGGACTGAGTGGTTGTGCACATCTCTTCCCAACTCTACATTCAGCAGCATGCTGCCAGCTTGAAAAAGGCCATGGTGAGAGTGTTTACACCATGGAAATGAGCACACGTTATCAATCAGAGCCTGACATCTTTTCCCCAGAGAGCTGGTTGTTAAACATTTCCCAGCACACCACCATCAGAAACTCAGTTTGCTCATTTGTAAAATGAGAACGTAACTCATCTCCTACTTACAAAGTTTCCGTGGGCTAAAATAAGTGAGAGTGGTGATAAATTACTTGACACTATACAAATATTGCTAGAATCATCATGTGGTTGCTATAGTTGTCATCTTCTATTAAGGGCCTAACATAGTACTATGTAATTTGCAAATACCATGTGCCTTACAGTAAACGTTTAATCAGTGTGTTATTGTTTTGTTGTTGATCCTTTCTTAAGCCACTGCAGCACCCACCATGCTCTTGTGTGCTTAGGTATGTGCTCAATGGGAAATGGTTTCGAGACATTTCGAGTGTTGGAAGAGACACTGCACAATGGCCAGGCATGCTGCGATCAAGGTTTAATTTGGTCCTAGGTCCGGTAAATCCACAAATAGAAACTTGCAGGCTCGTCCCCACCAAGAGCTTACTGTGACTGCAAGTTTACGCAGCCCGAGTCACCTCTGGGGTGTGGAAAATTTGGGTGATCCCCCGGGGGCCTCATGTTTGGGGAATTTCCACTGTGGCAACTGCTTCTGAGCTCCTGCTGAGACCAGGTGCCTGGAGCAGTGAAGAGGCTGCAGTAGATGTGGGGAAAGAGGTGGTATTCCCAGCTCCATCTGGAAAAGACTCGAGGCCCATATTAACAGAACAGTAGAAAAAGAAGTGGGGATTAAGCAGGTTTCTTGGTGCCTGTCCTGGTCGTCCCTTGGGCTGCCTTCCTCCCTGAGATGTTCTGTCCTCTTCTGTAACCCTTCAAGACCACTCTTGCTCATTTTTTACCAAATTTTTCCTATATAATGTTAGGTTGGGAAGTCCAAGTGCAATTTTCTTCAGTATCCACACCCCAACCCATATGAGCCTAGTGACATACTAGTAGACTTAAATATGTTTACCCACCAATAGACATTTGCCATTTGTGCCAGGAAAATAACACTAGGAAAATCACAGGAGGGATCATGAATCCTTGTTAAGCATCTGAAAATCAGCTTTGTTAAAACACACACTCATTCAGAAAAGTGCTTTGTAGCAAAGCAATCTCAACAGCTCTCAAAATTCTATCACTTCCCATCCAGATTCTTGTGCAAGTAAAAGTATTAATACACCATTTATTTGATGAATTAATCAGTGATCAAATGGAAGAGGTTTTGACAATGTCACTAATACCTGCCCTGAACGCTTGCTTAGAAGAGAAACAGATTTCCCAGTATTTTTTATAACTTACTTTCCCATTGTCTCCAATTAATTTGCTATTATCCCAAGTAGACAGACAACTTCAGTAGTAGCTATCACCCTACATTTTTAGATCATTGAAAAAAAATGGATGAGCAATCCACGAAAATAACTAGCTTACTGAAATGCTTGGTTTTTAAAGGAAAATTGGTATTATTAAAAAAAAAAAAAAGGCCCAGGACTGGTAGCTAGGAGATCCGGGAGACAGAAGCCATTGCTCTGGTTCTGACACTAAGTAACCCTTTTGCCTTGTGCAGGTAACTTCTTATCTAGGTCCTCAGCATCCTCCTCTGTAAACTGAAGAGTTTAAATGACTCTAAGTTCCTCTCTCTCTCTCTCTCTAGATGTTCTCTAACACCAAGTTTATGTGAGTTTCTTTGGCCAGGTTTTAACCAGAGACCATCCTCCGTGAAGGTCAAAGGTCATCAATTCTCAGATGGCAGGAGTTGTTTTTGGCATGTACAGTCAACCTTTCAAAAAACCAAGAGTTCTCAAGTTAAGCTCCCTTCACGAACCTCTTTTTAAATTTAAGTATCACTCTCTGTCCCTCCTGATTTCCTATGTTGCTCCACCACCTCCCTCCATCAGAAAAAAAAAAAAAAAAGATGAGAAAAATCTCTTGTGTTTTCTTCCTTCTTGGTTCTTGGAAAACGGTGTGCAATCACTTCCTCTTCTTCCGTGGCTGCCTCATGTCACCTGTACAAACAAGAACAGAGACAGACCTCAGGCTTCAGGCTTTCCCTAATGGGTATTTTTGCTGTGGGTAAAGATTCACTCTGATTTGGGGCAGTGGAAAGTCGAACACACTTTTCCCAAGGCGACAAGATACAGTTTAGGGAGTTATGAAAAATAGCTGCCATGACGACAGGGGCAGAGAACAACTCTGCCATACTCCCTCCGTGCCGGGTTCACAGTTAGCCAGGCACCCATGATGCCGCTTGCCTTCAGGTGCTCTGCATAGCTAAGAGGAAGCATATTGCTGTGGTTCTGCGTGAGTGTTTGCAGGCTACAAACAATCCATCAGCAAACTTTGAGACTTTGCAGATGGAGATGAAGAGACCACATCAAATTAGAGAGGAAATAGAAGGGTGGATGTTCACCTAATTGGGGTCATTCTGTGACCTCTTAGCAAATGAATTCATCAGCCTGGTGGAAAAGTACTGGCATATGGATTAGGTCTGAGTAAGCTCATTAGAGGGGCATTATTCTACTGAAATTATAGCATTAGATTTGTAGAATGACTTCTATTCAGCCAACAAGTTGGTACTCCATATTTAATGATCATAAATCTTTGTGTAAGCTCTGCAATTTATGAAATTTCATTAGCTCATTATCCTTTGCGCTTGTTGCCAAATACTATCAATCCTACTTTAAAAACTTCTCCATTCCAGAACTTAGAGCCCTGGTAGTTCTGGCTTGATATTCCTGTAGCAAATCCATGCTCCTAATTCCACAGTTCACCCTTCAGACCTTGCCACCTTCATCAATTCTATCCTTAACAGTAAACACTAGATACCTTATACTAATTCCATTCTGCTGGAACTCCACTTCTTAAAGGCTATCGTGACTGGTGACTTTTGAAGTCCTGTTTGTGGCCCCTTAATCACACTGATTTCCTAGGATGGCCACCTCTTGATCACGCAGTCCTCATAGCTATCCTTGTATTCATCTTATGCAAGATTTTCAAGATCAAAACTCTCTCTTCTTCATCTGCTTCTCATCAATCTAGACTACCCCAGTCATCAGCCAAGTCTTATTGTTTATCAAGCTTTATGGGTTTCACATTGTTTTCATTGGTGGGTCTACTTTTTTCTCTTCCGTTTTTCTTTCTTTTTCTTTTTCTTTTTTTTTTTTTTGAGACAAAGTCTTTGCCCAGGCTGGAATACAGTGGCATAATCTCAGCTCACTGCGGCCTTGAACTCCTGGGCTGGAGTCCTCCAACCTCAGTCTCCTGACTAGTTGGGACTATAGGTACACATCACCATGCCCAGCTTTTTTTGTTTGTTTGTTTTTTGTTTTGCTTTTTTATTAGATACAAGGTTTCGCTATGTTGCTCAGGATGATCTTGAACTCCTGGCCTCACCACGAGAGATCCTCCCATCTCAGCCTCCCAGAGTGCTAGGATTACAGGCAAGAGCCACCACACTCGGCCTTATTTTCCATTTTTGATGTGAATTCTCTCCTCCCTAGTTAGGCCTTCTCTTCTCTACATTAGGTCTATAAGTACAAGCACAGTACCACCTCTTTCTGTAGAGTATACTCTGGGCCTTTAATGAATTCTTTTTCAATTAAATAACCAGCTTACATACAACAGGGACAATATAAACTTGGTCAATATAAACTTCTCAAATTTCTACCCCCTGGAGTCACTCCGAGGGTTCCTAAAACTTTTTTTTTATCCGTGTTGTTTACCATTCCTCAGGCCCTCAAGCCTAACTGTAATCATAACCTCAGTCCTTCCACGCCAGGTGTCAAGGACTGAAGTCTCCCTTCTCCATTTAAGAAATGCAACAGAACCCGAACGTTTGGAGAAAGGCCACCCAGGAGCGGACATGGTGGTGTGAAGCTCTGCTGGGGGAGGAGAGCAGGTGGCTCCTTCCATTGGATTAGAGTCCTCTGTCCAAAACCAAGTAGCTAGGAGGAACACTAAGAAGTGCCCACATACCCATCCACATGCTAGAGAGAACGGACTGTCCCCAAATGGGTCTCCGTGGTGCTCCCAAAGTCATTTTATTCTGTAGGGACTCACACGGCGTGAACATTGCAAAAATCATGTTTCTTTTCGCTTCTAGCAGCTGGGAATGGCGAGTGGGGCCTTAGTCTTGAATTCTCACAGAGCTAAGCAGTTTCTAGGCTTCTTTAAGTCTTTGGAATTTATCTCTGATGGTGCTTTTTTTTTTTTTTGAGACAAGGTCTTGCTGTCACCAGGCTGGAATGCGGTGGTGTGACCTCGGCTCACTTCAACCTCCGCTTCCCAGATTCAAGCATTTCTGCCACCTCTTAGCCTCCCGAGTAGCCAGGACTACAGATGTGTGCCACCACACCTAGTTTTTTTTTTTTTTTTTTTTTTTTGTATTTTTAGTAGAGACGGAGTTTCACCATGTTATCGAGGCTGCTCTTGAACTCCTGAGCTCAAGTGATCCACCCGCCTCGGCCTCCCAAAGTGCTGGGATTACAGGTGTGAGCCACTGCGCCTGGCCCTCTGACCATGCTTCTATAATACATAGCTGGAAATAAGGAAACTGTTGACTTAATAATAGATCATATATCTTACCCAAACCAAATTCGCAAAATGGATTTTAAGTTGTAATTGGAAAATTATGTTTATTATAAATATTTTCTTGATTGAGAAGCATTTTTCCCAGTCAAAAGTATCCTAGTTGGCAGACAGTAAGTTAGATTCACCCTGACTTGTTTTATTCCTTTATCCTCTATCAGATAATACCAAGGGCTAGAAATATTTTTATAACCCTGATATTTCGCCTGATATTCTTGACCACTTGGTGCTTGGCTGGTGACTTCCAATCAGGCCACTGGAAGCAGAGATTCCAGCTGTGTCTCAGTATTTCAGAAGCAGAGATTCCAACAGATTCTAGCTTCCATCTTTGCAAGATCTGAACATTTCCTGCAGTCATGGCCAAGAAACTATTGTTTCAATCAACATCACCGTCGGTACCGTATATAATTATATACCTTATTATTCCAATAGTTAGAACTCAGGATAAATAAAAACATACTATTCCCAAAGATTCACACCTATGTATCTACAACCACAGAAATGAATGCCAGGAATTGAAAATTTGAAGAACATTGGCCTGGTTTCAGTGGCCTGACTCAGAAAAGGGCAAGACATTTGATTAGCAGGTGTTAGAGAAATGAGGTCTGAGCACTCATAATCCTACGTTCACACTGCAGAAGTCCAGGGAGGAGAGGGAGCTGAGGGCTGGCTGGAGAAACCCCTGTGGGAAACAGGCTGAGGAAGAAGGAGGAATGGTAATCCAGAGCGGGCTCTTTTTGAGTTTAGGGAAATGAAGTTAGGACAAGAAAGGCAAAAGGGAGATAACTTTCTGTCATTGTCCAAATGCTGCCCCAGCGGGACCATGCTTTAAAGTACCTGTGGAGTCATTGCATGATAAAATTCTTCTGTTGTGGAATAAGCAGAGTTAATAAGACAAACCTCATCCAATTCCTTCGTGAATAAAACAAGGAGGTGGGCTAGATGGCCTCTAGGCAGCTTTTATCAAGAAAATCTCCCTTTTAAAAAACCTGGTTTATGGCAAATAATATTAAAAGCAAGCTTCAATATCATTCTTTCCGAGACACAATACCAGCGCCACTTAGCCAGGCTGGAATTTTCAGCTTACAATCTGTCCTTAGGATGACAAGGACCTATGGTCTTAGGGGCCCTGACAAAGGACAGCCTGACCCGTGGCATGTGTCCATCAGGGGCATGGGGAGAGGGGTCGCAGGCCCTGGGTAAGCTGACTGTCTCTCCAACCACCCCCACATAGCAGAGGCCCTGCCATTTGGGCCTAAGGTGCTTAGCCCCTTTCTGTGCCCCAAGATGATTTTCTCTTCCCAAGGGGCTTGTGTCCTGGTGTCAGCATCCTTGAGTGCTATCAATCATCCAGGAAAAAAAAAAAAAAAAGAAAAAGAAAATTAAGCATGTAAGGGGCAGAGAAGGGAGCCTTGGATGGGATGTCCTGATTGCCTCTTGCCCCCAGTCACTATGGAAGAGAACCTGCCCCGGGCATGCCTGGGTGTTCAGTCATAGCCATGGTGAGCCAAGCTCACAATGTCCTGCCAGAGACAGCTTCCCCTGCCTGCTTCTATCATGGTTTGAAGTTAACATTCCATCTAACTCCTCCCAAAAAGTAGAAATTGAATCTTTCTGGGGGGATGACTGGTCCCAGTAACTGACTCTGTGCTTGCCCAACCCTCTGCCTCATGACACAGAAAGGCTAGCACAGGGCAGGGAGATGGTGACAGGTCAGGCCAGGGAGCCCTGTGGAACCTCTTGTGAGCTTTTTGACCCTCAGTGCGTTCTTGAAGGACCTTCCTGTGGGCCACAACACCTGCCTCCCTGATGCTCAAAGCCAGTTCCCTGTAACTGCGCGCCCTGGGAGTACCTCATCATACACTTTCCAAGTTAAGATGTGATTCTCAGTATTGTTTCCTATTGCTGTCCTTCTTGCTCTCCTGTCCATATTCACCCACTGATGTGGTACAGGAGGAGGGAGAAAGTGAGTAGATATTCAGCTATTGTGACTATCACCACCAACACCCTTCTCAGTCCAGCAGCCCACTCAGGACAGCACCACACTGCACAAGGATGCCGTAGACAGAATTATCCGCACTGGAAGGAGACCAGGGTCCTGAGATGTAATAGAGTCTTGTCCTCACACCAGCAGCATCGGTATGTCTGGAGTATGCGTTAGAAGGGCAGAATCTCAAACTGCACCCCAGATCCACTAAACCAGAATCCACACTTTAACAAGATCTCCGGGTTCCCCAAGATCCTCATTTTGATGAGAATCAGCGGCCCAGGTTTGAGAAGCAACGCTCTGTAACAGCGGCTCTGGATCCTGATTGCAAGTTAAAATAACTGGGAAGCTTTAAAAAATACCCATGTCAAGTCACCATCTCTAGAGATATGGATCTAATTGGTCTAAGGTGGGCCTGAGAATTATTATTTTTCAAACTCCCCTAGTGTTTCTGTGATGTAAAAAGCCGAGGTAGAGAACTACTGCTAGAGAGATCCTGTCACATTGAATGACTCTTGACTGATACTTCACCTGATACTCTTGACCACGTGGTGCTTGGCTGGTGACTTTCAATTGGGCCACTGGAAGCAGAGATTCCAATTCTGTCTCAGGATTTCAGAAGCAGAGATTCCAACAGATTCTAGCCTCCAATAGCCTGACCTCCTATTCGCTGTAAGTACCTGAGGACGTGCTTCATCTCTGTCCATCTGCTGTCAGGTAGCTGTTAGCTTTATTCACTTTCAGCTGGGAAACTGGTAATTTATACATCAACTCGAAGGGGAGAATGAGGGAGAATAAGATGACCAGCAGTAGTGACTAACGCTGTATGCCAGGTCCTGCTGTAGGCGCTAGATCCTCAGCAAGTCATCTGAGGTTCTCCGTGAGCCCAGGAGGAGGTCACCAGCATTATTTCCACTAGGACAAGAGAAAGCTGGGGCACAGAGACCTTTAGTGACTTACTCAGTCTCACAGGTACAAGTGGCAGGGCCAAGATAGAAACTGAGGCAGTTTGGCACCAGAACTTTTCTTCTAACCACAGCCCCCAACTGCCTCCCTGAAGCATTCATTTGAATTTCTGCTCTCACTGAAGGGGGCTCAGGCTGTGGAAGGAGAGAAAACATAGCTTAGCTCTAGCTTTGGACAGAATATGTGGCTATCTGTAAGTTTCCAGAACTGAAGATCTGGAGAAAGGCTCCCAGGTAGGGGAACCAGACAGCGGAGTGCCCAAGCCAAGATGACATCAAACCTTATGAACACTGGCCCAGCAGGCACAGACAGGGACCATCTCAGGCCTCCTGGGCTTGGTGGCCACTCTACTTAGAGGCTGCCTGATCACGGAGGAATTGAAGTGCATCGCCATAGGATACATGGTTGGTTTGCGGCCAGGTGAGGGACATACTCTGGCTTTCTTGATTCCTACTCCAGTGCTCTTTCCCTTGTTTAATACTTTCTGCCCTAACATGCATGTCTTCAACAACTCTCTAACTGGTACACCTTGTCGTCACCCTCCTATACTCCTTAAACTCCCCGCCCAATACTCTACAGTCATTAGAGTCACTCCTTATCTGCCATCTCCAGAACACCTTTGCAAAAAGTTCTACTTTACACCTAGGGAAAAAAGTCCTTGGATATCCTGTTGTCTGCACGGACTGATGCAATGAGAAAGCTAATGGAAATGAGGAATTTTAAGATGAACAAGATGTATCCCTAATCCGTAAGACACCTGAGGTCTAGTGGAAAAACAAATCCCTAAAGCAGTCATGATAAAGTGGTAAGTCTAGTGATTGGGAGATAAAGGGGGATGCACTGGGAAGGACACGAAGTCCAACCTGGGCTGACCAGGGAAGGCTTCCTGGAAGAGGTGAGTGTTGAAATGAATGACTATGAGCCAGGCAAAGACTGAAGGATAGGAGACACAGAATCCCATGGACATAAGAAACAACATCAATGTGGAGGGAAAACCAGCAGTTTGGTGCCACTGGGGCACAAATATAGAAGAGCAAAAGCCAAAGCAGGGACTGGGTCACAGAGGCCCTTGTGTGTCATTCCAAGGATGTGGATTTTCTTCAGTAAATTGAGGAAAGCCTTAAAGTGTTTCCAGTAGAATAGGACATGGGGAAATGTGTTCATATAGGTTGTTTAGCTTTCAGCAATGTAAAAGTGTTCACTGCATTGCAACTTTAACAAATCTAATTTTTCTTTTAAGTCTTATTAAATCATTCATAATTAATAAAGATCTGTTCAAGATTTAATACATTTATGATCTTATTCTGATGTTAAATAGGACCTTTTACTCATTCTCTTCTTTAAAAAGTTAAAAATCTAGAAAGAGCTCGAGAGATGAGCACAGTCATTTACAATTGTCTCTTTCAATTACGTGAAAACTTGCATGCACAGGAGGTAATTGAGGGACTATATGTTGATGCCGGCTTATCTATTTATTGGGACTTAATTATAGTTAAAAATTGGATGCAGTCCTTAAACAATGAGGCTTGTTAAGCACTTTGTGTTGAGAATAGTAATTTCAATAATAACAAATATGATAATTTTGTTTTTTAGTTCAATGGATGTTTAAAATTCACCATAGAGTAACAATTTAAAAATTAACTCAATACATTATTGAACTCAATACATTATTGAACAATTGATTTTAAAAGTTGTTGTTCTCTAAGCTCTAAGTAATCAAGATTTTCTCTGTACTTCTAATATCTTAAAGCTTCTTTAAATATATATATATATATAGAGAGAGAGAGATTTGGGGAAGGCATCAGAAATCTTTACCCAGAACTTCAAGGAGCCAAAACTAGTTAGAATTATATGTCAACACATCTGAAATGTCAACACATTTTTTTTTTTTTTGGCGATAATTTTCTGTGATTTGGAATCCTGATTGGGAAGTAATTTTTAGTATTCCATTTTTTTAAGTGTTTGCTTTCAAAGAGAATTTTGCCCTTGAGAGTTTCTTAAACTAGTCAAATTCTCCAAGAGTAGAAAACACGTGATACATCCAAGTTGCATGCTTATTTCTCCAGGGTCTCAGCTTCCTCTCAGAAACACACACTCTGGTACTGAACCTTCTGAAACTGTCAGGTTTTTTTGCATACACGGGCTTATGTTTTCACACCAGTTCATAGATTGGGCGGAAGATGGCACTTCTGCCATCTCTATTTTGATAGAACAGAATGGCATGTGGGCGAGTGATGTGGGGGATTGGGTGTGACTCTTTGCCTTCCTTATATACAGAATCAGGGTAGAGTTCCTGCGCTTCTCCTGGGGTAGGGAAATAAGTCATGGGTGTTTTGCAGCCTGACTTTCTGGTAGTTACTTTTCCAACAATAAAAAAATATTCTGGGGTGGGGTGGGGAGAGAGGAAGCAGGAAGGAGAATGAAATCTTCCATTTTAAAAGTAACTAAGATGATTTTTTTTTTTCTTAGGAAGAAGCAACAGGATTCTACCCACCTATAATGAGAAAGTTTAACTTACTGACATATTCTCATTGCTGAAGACTCTGTCTGAATGAGGATTTCAGTCTCAAGTCTAGGATGTGATTTCATCTGGTAAATGTCTTATGGAAGGCTGAGGAGCAGCCTAATGAGGCACTGCTGAGGAGGGAGGAGGTGGGAGGAGCTGAGAGGACTATCTGGACTTACTTCCTTCAGAATGAAATCTTGATATTTTCAAAGCTTGTGTCCCTGGAACCCTCACTTGGATTAGGGGGAGACCCCTGATTTTATTTATTCATGCTAGGGATGGTAATACCTTGTTCTCTAGGTCCCGGGCTTTCTAAAGAAGATTATTTTCAGCTTTAAAGTTAAATGATGCATTGTTTGGGGGACAAGAGGAGATCCTTTGATGAGGTCCTTTAAAAGAGTACCCCACCCCCAACGCTGTCCTCTTGCCTGCCTTGGCACAACCTGTCTGAGTCCTTTGGACAAAGATAGTAAGCATCATTGCTTCTGTTTGGGGTTAGTTTTTCTTTCTGTTTCCAGGCGAAGTGGAGATGCGGGCACGGAAGAAGCGCATCTGTAGCTAAGAAAGAAATACACTGACCCCATTTCCAGTGGTTGAGCTTCTCTCCAAGTAGGTAGATGCTGGCGATGAAGATGTGGCTGAGAGAGAAGAAAGCTGCTAGACCCACGAGGCTGAGTTTGGCAAACACAGGATATACCCAGGTACCTGTCTCAAAGTAGAGCCACAGGATCCTGCAGGAAATAAGAAATCATGGTGATTAGAGCAGGAGGAGAAAAACAAGCCATTTTCTCATCAGGATCAACGAGGTACTGGAACCTAGGCAGGGGAAAAGAATCCATATCAGGGACATTTGTCAACAGCTGTAGTATTCCCACAAACCTAAGTAAGTGAGGCTTTTCTGGGTAAATCAACTTGATTCCATAACATATGCTGTTTGATGGGCTGGGCTGGGTTGTTTTACCTAACCCATTAACAGCCAACATTGGTGAAAAAATAGAAGAGAACATAGGGTTGGGCACCGTGGCTCCCACCTGTAATCCGAGCACTTGGGGAGGCTAAGACAAGTGGATCACCTGAAGTCAGGAGTTCAAGACAGGCCTGGCCAACATGACGAAACCCTGTCTCTACTAAAAATACAAAAAATTAACTGGGCATGGTGGCTCGGGCCTGTAGTCCCAGCTGCTTGGGAGGCTGAGGCAGGAGAATCACTTGAACCTGGGAGGAAGAGGTTACAGTGAGCCAAGATCATGCCACTGCACTTCAGCCTGGGGGACAAGAGTGAAACTTCGTCTCAAAAGAAAGAAAAAAAAGAGAGGGAGAACATAGAACACATTGTTAGCTAAAGGGAGTATGTGGGAACATGAATGATCCCTTTCCTTGAGAGGTATGGCCTTCTGAGACATCAAACCTGCTATTAAGGAATTCATTTTGCTGGCTCTGAGCCAGAGAAGTGGGGTTTGCTTTTTTGGATCTAAGAATCAGGTGCAGCTTTCCATTAGCTCTCCAAGTCTGCTGGGATGAGGGAGCAGAGATGGAGCGTTATTGCCCTAATACAACATGCCTAGGATTTAACTGTTGGCCCTGATTTTCACTCATGCATACAGTCATAAATAGAGTGTTAAGCAGGAATGCATGGATTTGCAGGGAGACTCAGATCTTGCTTATGTGAGGATAGGCTGTAAGTCATTTCTGGAAGCCAAGAGAAGAAAAAGAAATGCTAGGAGAAGAGCCATGATGTCTAAGTGAAGCCTAAAAATGCAGTTTGCTGGAAACCAACTGCACTGGAAGATGCCAAAGTCTGAAATAACTTTTAAAAATTAAATGTGGGGAAGCTGATGCATCAGCTACAGTTCCTCATTGGTTAGGAGCACAGAATCTGGAACCGGGCTTCTGTGATTCAAATCCTAGCTCTGCCACCTAGTAGCTATGTTACCTCCAGCAATTTCATCAACCTTTCTGTCCCCATCCCCTCAACGTGTAAAGTGAAGATCCAAATAGCATACACCTTCTAAGGCTGTTGTAAGGATTGCAGGAGTTAACACATGTAAAGGATACAGAACAGTGCTTGGCATATTGTAATATTTGACAAGAGTTCAAAAGCTTCCATCTCCACTGAGGGATGGCACAATGGGAGTGCTCTCAGAAAACCTTCTTTGAAGCTGCTGATCTCTTGTAACAATTAGGATAGGCCGGGTTATGCTTCAAAAACAACTTTTAAATTTGAATCTCCCCTGTTATCAAAGGAATTCAGATGGAAGAATGAAATTCTGTGCTTAAACTTTCAGAAACCCAAGGGTGATCTCTGTCATTTCAAATACTTGAAGTTTGTGAAATGTTTTGTGGAAGAGACAAGGGCTATATTCCGGGCCAGGAGTAGGGTGAAGCAAGAGAGGCCCTAGGGTGTAAAATTTAAGGGATTATCTCTGTGCATCAAAGGACGCAATAAACAGTGTGAAAAGGCAATCCATGGAATGGGAAACAATATTTCTAATAAGGGGTTAATATCCAAAATATGTAAAATATTCCTGTAACTCAACAATAACAACAAACCCAAATAACCCAATTAAAAATGGACAAAGGACTTGAATAGACATTTTACAGAGAAGATACATGAAAGGCCAACAAATGCATGAAAGAATGTTCAACATCACTAATAACTAGAAGAAATGCAAATCAAAATGACAGTGAGATATTGTCTTAGATTCATTGGGATGGATACTATATTTTTTTTTTTTAAAAAAAAGACAAGATAACAAGTGTTAGTAAGGACAGAGAGAAATTGGAACTCTTGTTCATTGTTGGTAGGAATGGAAGATGGTACATCTGCCTTGGAAAACTATATGGTGGTTCCCCCAAAATTAAAATAGAATTACCATCTGATCCAGCAGTTCCACTTCTGGGTACACACCCAAAAGAACTGAAAACATGGCTAACACGGTGAAACCCCGTCTCTACTAAATATACAAAAAATTAGCCAGGCATGGTGGTGGGCAACCTGTAGTCCCAGCTACTTGGGAGGCTGAGGCAGGAGAATGGTGTGAACCTGGAGGCAGAGCTTGCAGTGAGCGGAGATCACGCCACTGCACTCAAGCCACTCCGGCCTGGGCAACAGAGCAAGACTCTGTCTCAAAAAAGAAAAAAAAGAATTGAAAACAAGGATCTGAAGAGACATTTGTACACCCATGTTTATAGCAGCATTATTCACAATAGCCTAAAAGTGGAAGCTACCCACTGATAGATGAATGGATACATAAAATGTGGCCTATACATAGGCATTAAGAATGAAGAAAATTCTGATGCATTCTACCACACGGATCAACTTTGAAGACATTTTATGCTAAGTGAAATAAACCAGTTGTAAAAAGACAAATACTGCATAATTCCATTTACATGAGAAACCTAGAAGGTCAAATTCATAGAGGGAGAAAGTAGAATGGTGCTTGCCATGTGGTTGGGGGAGGAGGCAGTGGGGAATGCAATGGTTTCAATATGGTTTGTTTGTTCCTACCGCAACTCATGTTGAAATTTGGTCCTGTGTGTGTTGGTGTCGGGAGTGGGAGCCTAGTGGGAGGTGTTTGGGTCATGAGGATGGATCTCCTGAGAATGGTTTGATGCTGTTCTTGTGACAGTAAGCTCTAGAAATGGATTTTTTCCATGAGAATGGCTTGTTATAAATCTAGGATGCCCCTCGGGTTTTGCCCTTTTCACACATGTCCATTTCCCCTTTGACTGTCTCCGCCACATTGTGAGGCAGCAGTGATGCCCTTACCAGGAGCCAGAGCCATGCCCTTGAACTTCTCAGAATATGAACTAAATAAACTTCTTTTCTTTATAATTTACCCAATATCTGAAATTCTTTTACAGGAACACAAAATGGACTAAGCCAGGGAGTTATTGTTTAACGGGTAGACTTTCAGTTTGGGAAGATGTAAAAGTTCTGGAGATGGATGGTGGTGATGGAGGCACAACAAGGTAAATGTACAACATGCTACAGAGCTTAAAAATGATCAAAATGGTAAATCACTTAAAATGGTTAAAATTGTAAATGTTGTGTACCTTTTACCACGATTTAAATGTATCTAGGGAGGTGTTAATTTTAGGGTCATATAAATGTAGGGTTGGCATTGAGTTCCTCGCTTGGGCCCTGCTGGTATCACTCTGCTTTCCCAAACTTGTCTGGATGTTCCTCCCAGATTGAGAATGAGGTGACTAGAATAAACAATAATTATCATCATTATTACTAATATTAGAATTCTTTTTTTTTTTTTAGACGGAGTCTCGCTCTGTCCCTCAGGCTGGAGTGCAGTGGTGCAATCTCGCTCACTGCAACCGCCGCTTCCTGGGTTCAAGTATTCTCCTGCCTTGCCCACCACTTCCTGGGTTCAAGTGATTCTCCTGCCTTGCCCTCCTGAGTAGCTGGGATTACAGGCATGTGCCACCATGCCCAGCTAATTTTTGTATTTTTAGTAGAGACAGGCTTTCACCATGTTGGTCAGGATAGTCTCAAACTCCTGATCTTGTGATCCGCCCGCCTCGGCCTCCCAAAGTGCTGGGATTACAAGTGTGAGCCACTGCGCCTGGCCTAGAATTCTTTAAGATATGCATTCCATGGATGCATTACAGGATACCCACAGTGATTCTTACCTGCATGGCGACTTCTCATGGCAGGACAAAGAAGGTATATGGCATAGAAAATAAATAGTTTCGGCCAGGCGCGGTGGCTCAAGCCTGTAATCCCAGCACTTTGGGAGGCCGAGACGGGCGAATCACGAGGTCAGGAAATCGAGACCATCCTGGCTAACACAGTGAAACCCCGTCTCTACTAAAAAATACAAAAAACTAGCCGGGCCAGGTGGCGGGCGCCTGTAGTCCCAGCTACTCAGGAAGGCTGAGGCAGGAGAATGGCGTGAACCCGGGAGATGGAGCTTGCAGTGAGCCGAGATCCGGCCACTGCACTCCAGCCTGGGCGACAGAGCGAGACTCCGTCTCCAGGAAAAAAAAAAAAAAAGAAAATAAATAGTTTCAAGTAGATAGGGCTAGGAGTTTGGAGTCAGTGAGGAGTTCTGAATATACTCCAAACAAGTTGCATCACTTAGTTCACTTTGTTTACTTTATATACTTGAAGTTAGAGCTTCTAAATTCCCATGCACATTTATGTAAGATAGTCTATAAATAAGGACATCCCTCCAGAGGCTTGGAAAATTCCTGTTTACTTCATGTTTGTTTCCTTCAGCATAAGGCTTGTAAAGGAAAGTTCCCGACGTAAGCTAATGAATTGTGTAATTTCCTAGAGAAAGTGCAAGGAAAGTTATAGGTGTGGTACCTGATAGTGGGAAAGTAACAGAGATACAGAGTATGAGGCAAGATGACAGTAATTTACCAAGGGTACTCAGCAGAGAGGCATGAGTGAGGACAGAGTCACACTGTTAGTTGACATCACTTCTTTATGGCTTGCCTGAATATGAGGGGAAGGTGGGAAGAGAGAGGGGAACGAAGAAGAAAGAAAGGAAGGCAGGAAGGAAGGGAGGGAGGGAGGGAAGGAGAGAAGGAGGGAGGAGGGAGGGAGGGAGGGAGGAAACTTTGCATTCAACACGTCTTCTATTTCAGTCAATGTCAGCCCTCCCTTCAATCTTGCCCCCACATTTGAGCCCATGAAATCATATCTATACTAAACTTCCTTATAAATGTTTCCTCAGTCCCCCCATTTCACAATCTTCCTTCAGCCTCCTTC